GAGTCAGTCCCAGACTGAGCTGACTTGATCAAGTCTCTCTCTGCCTCTGGTGAGGAGGGGGGTGAAAAATCCTCCACTTCAGACCGTTTAGAGATGTAATTATCTGCGATACTGTGGTCACTCTCCATGTAGCACCAATTATGCTAATGCTAGCTGCCTGTCGCGTTCTCTCGTCCTGGCCACGCCTCCGCCCTCCAATCCCCCCCTTCCCCACCCCCTCCCCTACCCACTTTGATGCATTTTTCAAATTTCGCCTTGGGGCGGAGTTATCTTTTCACGGGGGGTGGGGGTGGGGGGTGGTAAAATACACTAAAGCTTTGTTAGGAGTTACCTTTTGTAAAAGGTTGTAAAAGGTGAACAAACACACGCAACCAAAACACAAAAGCTCTACTGGTTTACTATTGAGAACCTTTTTGCCAAAACTGTTAAATCAGCATTATGTAATTGTAATTCAACAACAATTCAGAGAAGGGAAATATCCAAACATCACCAACCTCCTGGTCTGGTTGTGTTTTATCCTTCTCTTTATGTAGCGCCTCCTTCAGGGCCTGAAAGATGGAGAAACAGAGTTCACATTGACTGTCTTTCCCCAGTATGCACACATAAAGCAGCATTACAGTTATTGCAATTTTCTTTCAGATGTCCTTAAAAAATCTCTAAAAAGTGAGAAACCACATCTGTTTGAACATTTAAAAAAATCCCACCTTGAGTTCCTGATCTTTCTCTGCGATAAGATCCGACAGCTGCTTAGCTGATGGTGCATCTGTCTCTTGGTCTGTGCTGCTTTTCTGAAGGACCAAAGCTTCCTGGTTCTTCAAGTTAATCTTAAGTTGCTCAATGATACTAATATAAGAAAAACAAACAAAAAAATCAAAATTTTCCTGATTATCTTTTTATATTGAGAAAAAGAGGTTTTGTAAGTTTGTTCCCTTACTTGTCTTTCTCCTGCAGGGTGTGCTGCAGGTCTTGGATTGTTTTTGGAACAGCAGCAGGTGTAAAGGCACCTGAAGGAGCGAGGACTTGGAGCTGCTTCTCCATGTTTATGCTCCTAAGCTTCTCCTGTTCAGCAATGGCTGCCATGTTCTCAACTTCCTCCTCTGCAGTTCGCAAACACTAAAACCAAAAATCAACAAATAAAATCACCATATGATCAGTTATGTTTTTATACCCTGGATTTGTTAAAATAAGGGGTAACGTCTTTCAAAAAGTATTTTGAAACTGATAATATTTCTCATTTTTTTCAGTCTGCCAAAATTAGCTTAGGCTTACCTGTTCCAGGTCAGCTATCCTTTTATTGAATGCATCTCGAAGTGCTTCCATCTCCCTCTGAGCTTGGTCTCTCACACGCTGGGGTTCTCCTGATTCTCGACCAGCCAGACTTTCCAATGCTTTACTGCAAAAAAAATAAATAAATAAACATTCATAGAAGCAATTAGGTTGGTGTACGCCTATGTCCTCAAACATAGGCATCCTACTAAAATTTTACATCTTTTGCTTGTTAAGAACCACAAAAAAGGAAAATGTGATTTCAACTGACCAGAATAAAACAAAATACATACGATGCTGATACAAGAAGCTCCTGTTTCTCTGCAAGCTCTCGCTTCATAGACTCCAACTCCACCTTCAGCTCAATGTTCTATAAAACAATATTGCTTTAGAAAAAACAAGGGCATATGGAGATTTCACAAAGCAAATGCATAAAAAACATATTTTTAAGATTTTTACAAGTCGTTCAGTAGTTTCGTGGCTTGATTTAGCTTCACTGATAACTTTCTAAATGGGTTTAAAGTTTGCACACCAAAATATTATCCTACATAATAGGGCTGGGTGATAAAACAATACTGATAAATATCGTGATAGACACATAATTAGGTGGCAAATTTTTTTTTATCACGATTAATTGTGGTATTTAGCCAATGACGATTAATATGATGATTAATCCCCTGGAGTCCCTGGACACCATCATATCCTAGTCACATCACCAATTTAAATAATTCTAATGGGAAAGATTTGCTCTCCATAAAAATCTGTTCCAAATTGTGTCAAAAGTACAAACTTCAGGCTATACATCGATCTTTAAATTGTGTCTATAGACCAAGTAAAACTGGAGTTATGATAAATAAATTACAGAACTTTTTTTTTAATGTTGGTTATATCTGAAGCAGAGAAGGAGCATTAATTAGTCTGCCTGGCAGCATTAATTGTATTAATCGTCAAGTGCCAAAAAATAATAAAATCTGATGATTAATTGCACAAAATATGATTTTGCCCAACCCTACACATAATTAATATTAATAGAAAATATATCTGATAAAAAGTTGACAATTTCACTGAACTCCGATCCAAAATCACACAGCATTCTGGGGGATGTAGGCAGAGGAAAAGCTTTAGCTGCTCGACCTCTCACAGCCCAGCTAAGCAAGGTTAGTGGCATCAGCTAACTCAATCACTTTTTGGTAAGCTAGCAACAATTTGCTGAGTAACATGCTGTAGCAGTTTCACATTTCACCACTGTGCCTCATAACTGCTTCAAAATATTAAAAAAAGACGTGGAGTGAAATGAGAAAACGAGTGCAACAGCTCGAGAGGAAATTATGGCTAAAAGAGGAAAGGTCATGTCACCAGTTTGGCAGTATTAATCAGTCTTTTTTCTCCTGGTCCTTATTTCAAATAAGTTAAAAAAAAAACTCTATAAAAATCTATAATTAATCGATATCAGCTATGAAACACTTTTATTTAGATACATTTTTCAGTCACATCACCCAGCCATACTACATAATAAAAGATGCTTAAATGTGTTCTTAAAATCAATCCCACCAAAAAAAAATTATCAAAAGAGATTACTAAAATCTCAAAAAGAACCATAAGTTCAATCATCTTATATTGTTTACATAAAATAAAAGAAAATCACAATTTGTGACAATTTTTTAATCAATTTTAAACATTTAAAATTTTAATTTTCTTATGAACAAATTCCAATTTGATATTCTAATGTACTTTCATTTCAGTAAGATAAAGAAAATATTATAAATAAACCACAAACTAAAAGATGCTGGGAGGTTTAAAATTCAGTTATTTTCTCATTTCCAAACTAATTTCAAGCCAGCCAACAATGTTTTAGATTGACATCATGTCACTGTTAGGGTAACATACTGTATATGTTGCACATTACAAAAAGTAAAATAAATACAACACCGTTTTGAAAATGTCTTCAGTGGAGTCGTCACATTTCTGTTGCATACGCTCCTCCATGAAGTAAATCCGAAGCTTCAGATTAAAGTTTTCTTTCTTCAGAGCTGTGATTTGCTGTGGAAAAATAGAACAAAAATGATTTTAATAAAAAAAAAAAACTAATAAAAAAAAACACTTCATAATTAATTTAAGAAAACAAGATTGGGATAATATTAAAGGTAGAACAATAAACTCAGTGATGGACTTCATTTGTGGAGAAAAGCCATACACGTGGTAGAAAATGGCCTTGTGTGAGGTTATTTTTAAAAAGAAAGGCTGCTTCTGTATGTGTGTGTGTCTGTGTGTGTGGTGTTTCCCCTAGGAAATTGGTCTTGGCAGGGGGGTGTTTTATAAAAA